TACTTAATATTTATAGATATATATACTTATAGAATTATGATAGTATATTATATATAATTATATAACGTAATACGTTATTATATGTTATGTAATATATATAATACATACAATGTGTATTATGTAATTATTATAGTGTATTATATATACTTATCCTGATTGATGGATCTTAGTGTTATCATTACTATGAGATATGCGAGATAATTCCTATAATATATGAGTCATTGCAACATCTGTACTAGTTCATGACTTTTTTTTACAGTGGAAAGATCTAGAGTGGGCATCTCATCACTGTCTGGTGAAGGGACAGACTACATCAATGCTTCCTATATTATGGTAAGTCATTTAACTGCGATGCTGAAAAATGATGTCCCATTGTATAGCTGTTTTCCAGTCTGCCATGTGTCCACGTTAGGGTGGCACAGTCCTGATTTTGAAAGTTCCTTTCTTCCATTATTCACTCTGCCTGAAAGAGTTACTTCCTCCAGGACGTATGATTACTGTTATTACTGTTTTTAAGTTTGGTTAAGTGCACTGCATTGGGACAATCTGTAGAACCAGAAAGTCCATCATAGTTTTAAAAACTAGTAAAGCTAAATGCCACCTATGAAAGAATCTTCTGAAATAGACTAGAAGTGTTAACTAACAAGTTAGTTTTTAATGGCTGTACTGTGGTTTGCTTTCCTACCTGCTCATCTTACAGATCTTTTGCAACTGGCATAGCCCAAGGCCCCATAGCTCATCAGCTTTCCATTATCTTTTTGTTCCCTGGGCTTTCTTCAACTCTTTTCCCCTTCATTAGCTGAGAGGGAGGAGTAAATTCTTCCTGGACATTCAGGAAAGAGATGGGAAAGCTCCCTGCAGTGCTGTGTATGCATGATGCTTCATCAGGTGCATTAGGGCAAAGGAACTCTCTTTTGTGATAAGAAGTTGATCTGGGACATCTGTACAAATTAAGAGACCCATTTGGGATTTTTGCAGATCTTTCAAGTATTCTTTTATTTGTTTCAGGTTGTCAGCTCCTCTAGAGGTCTGGCTAATGTACAACAGACTTTTTAGCAGGGTCTGCTGTGACAGGACAAGGGGTAATGGTTTTAAACTAAAAGAGGGTAGATTTAGACTTGACATAAGGAAAAAAATTTTTACAATGACGGTGGTGAAGCACTGGAACAGGTTGCCCAGAGAGGTGGTGGAAGCCCCATCCCTGGAGGCATTCAGGGTCAGGCTGGATGGGGCTCTGAGCAACCTTAACTAGTTGGAGATGTCCCTGCTCACCGCAGGGGGGTTGGACTAGATGACCTCTTCTGAGTTGGCTTTTCAAGTCTCCATGATACCTTTTGTCTTTTTTTTTTTTGATCCAATTTTTTTAAGTTTTAAAAGTTATTTCAGTGTAATCGATTTTATTCTTTTCATCTGGAAAATACTGCAATGGAAGTTTTATATTCTTCTAATATTTGCAGGAAGCCAAAGGAGGCACAAGTCTGCAATTTATTTTCTAGGCTTCTGGCTCTGTCCACTAGAAGCTTCCTTTAAATGTTAATAGTTGTGCGTCAATTCTGAGTCTTTTGATTTTGTTTTGCAGGGTTATTATCAAAGTAATGAATTCATTATTACCCAGCATCCCTTACTACACACTATCAAGGATTTCTGGAGGATGATATGGGACCATAATGCCCAGCTAATAGTCATGCTTCCTGATAGCCAGAATATGGTAAGTTTTGTCGCTGATTGTTACGGGTTTAGGTATGAATTTTATTAGTATTACCATTTTGAAATATGCAGGACATGAGACAATATCTTGGATTTTGCAAAAAACAATTAAAAATTAATAATACTGTAATGAGTGTAAAATCCCCAAATCATCTAGTGGAAATCTGGAGATTCTTGTCTGGGCAGATTGCAACTGGCATGAGAAAGTACTGAATCATTCCTGTATAATTTATAAAAAGAGCCAAACAGGAGAAGTAACCGTTATGCAAGGTTAGTTTTCTCTCCAGTACTTTTACTTTAGTTGTAATATGGCTTCTTCAACCATTATTAGGTAAGGGGAGAAATATGAGGTTGTTTCTCTTGCTTATCTCCTAAAGTTACAAACAAATGGTTAGCAGGGATTTATCTGACTCTGAACAGCAAAGAAAGCTCACAAGTTCATCCTGCATGTGTAATTTAACAGCAAATTAATATATTTTCCAGTTACTAGAAATGCAGGAGTACCTGAGACCTTTTAGGTTGGTACTTAGAAAAATCTTGAGGTGTGAGAGGGCATCATGTTTGGTAATGAGTTTGGAGGAAAGCCATACAAGTGCTTTGGAGAGTCTTGCATGATTTGAAAAAAATGTACAACCAAGACAATGTTTGGTTTTTTTCTTCTCATCAAATGTTTTGTGACTGTTACACTTCCTGTAAAACAGATGGATTTTTAAGTTAACCTTTGTAATAAGGGAGGTTGTTTTGCCAGGAGGTGCTGCTTCATTATGATCCCAGTTAAGAAAGGCGCTCAGACTCTGTAAAGTATCATTTAAAATGCTACTTATTACTCCTAACACTGTGAAGGAGAGGGCAGTATAGATAATCTTATATCCCTTCAGATGCTAGGAACCCCAAGTTGTGCATCACTGAATGTATCTCTGGTCAAGGTACATCACGCCATGCAGCTCCCATCGGTGGAAAGGTTACCTCCATTTTGGTCATTCGAACTATTATAGGATTTTTCTTAAAAGAGAACAACTCTGTTGATGATTTCTGCTGTAATTCCCAGGCCACACAGGTGGCCTGATTACCAGTACTGACTGGGAGCTGCCTGCAGGCTCCTTGCTTCCAGTCATCCAGCTCAGTTTGTCCTGTGGCCATGGGCTATGGGCAGCAGAACGCAGGCTGAAGGCCAGGCTGAACATGTGGCACAGGGCAGCACAGCCCACCTTGACTGTTGCGTGGGTCGCGATCTTCACGGGGTACAGTGATCTTCTGGTCAGGTTCACAACAGAGGTGTCTGAAAACCATCACTTGTGACGTTTGTAATTCTACTCAAATTTTGATTTGTCAACTTAAAGCTATCTGGCTGCATTGATTACATACGCAGCACGTTATTTAGTATGTTGGATTAAGTTTTATCTTAAGAGCTGAACATTAATTACTTTTATTTTGTTTTTTTTTTTTTTTCCCTCTTGTCCCGGAGGCTGAAGATGAATTTGTATACTGGCCAAACAAAGATGAGCCTATAAACTGTGAGAGTTTCAAAGTTACTATGATTGCTGAAGAACACAAGTGTCTGTCTAACGAGGAGAAGCTCATAATCCAAGACTTTATTTTAGAAGCTACACAGGTAACACTGTCATAAACCTGTAACTCAGGGCTTGATTTGTTAAAGGTAATAGTTACATTTTGTTACATTTTCTATGGTAAATTAGTGGTAAAAGACCTAGGGAGAGAGTAGCCTCTATAGGTAGTTTGGTGACATTAGGAATAGGGTAGTCCAGCCTCCACAGCGGCAGGATTATGTATCTAGAAGTTGGATCTGGACTGGAACAGGGTGAAGGATAAGAATAAAGACAGTTAACTTTCTACCAGACTGATTTATGCTTTTTTTCCCTCTTTTAGGATGACTATGTACTTGAAGTGAGGCATTTTCAGTGTCCAAAATGGCCAAATCCTGATAGTCCTATTAGTAAAACTTTTGAACTGATCAGCATCATCAAAGAGGAAACTTCCAACCGTGATGGACCCATGATTGTACATGACGAGTAAGTACTGCAGCTTTCAGTTGTTTTTTCTGTAGAGCCATCTTTTCATCTCATTTAGAGTGAAAACGGCTGAAACAAGGCACAAAGTCCGCACCTAACAATAGTGCTGCTGCTGGTTCTGTTTCAGCTGCACCAACAAGAGAAACATTTTTATTTTATCACACTTCAATGTTCTCTTTTCAGTTCTCTGATTTCAGTATCATTTTGATACTCTAGGTGACTGTCGAGTAGGGCACTGGAGAGGAAATCAATCACGGCTTCATTGTCTATTATTGAAAGAAGTAAGACTATTTAGATGAGGTACCTTACCCTTCTCCAGCTGTTTAATAATGGCCCAAAACACTGAAATGTTGAAATACTGAAGGACCCGAGGCCTTCAGGATTTAGTTAGTAGAGGATTGTAGGGA